CACTTCATCCTGAGCTTCGTGAGCTTCCCTTTGTCCAGTCCTCAAGTTTATCAAGGTCTCTGTCATGTGTCATCAGCCACTCCTAAATGCAGAACCCATAAAGGACAGGTTTCATTCCTGGCAGAGCACTGCGCTATTTGAAGAATCTCAATGGAAACATAACTCTCGATACAATCAGCTTGCAACTGGGAGTTACAGGCAAAGTACACCATGAAACACCTTTTTATGACAGTGACTGGTAAAACACTGTATTTACTAAGTTTGTGATTTTTCAGGCTCACCAAAGGTTGACTCCAGCACCCATCACACAGGACCATCTCCACAGAAGCCAGCGGGGCTTCCACACACCTCAGCACCAAACATCACTTCCACACATTTGAGGAATCAGGCCCCAACTAACATTAAAAATTTTGTCTGATAAAGGGGAAGATGAAAATACTGCCACCTCTGCTGGGAGGGCACATATGATTGACTAGTTTGTGGTCCTTAAGCAACACATCTCCAGTGCTTCTGCCCAGGGTATTTTTAAGGATTTCAGCAACAACATGAACTGTCTGAAGGGCTCTGCCACTTCTGCAGCGCTGGAAAGGTATCCCTGAAACCCAACGCTGCTGTCTGAGGCACTATTTACAGGCCTGGAATGTAAACTCTGCTGTGTATGTACCCAGCCTCTAAACGGCAACCCCAGTCAGAGGTACCTTATCTCAACACTGACAAAACATTCAAATACGAGGATTCTTTTTTTCCTGACAAAGACATTTCCTCCCCAAGGACATTTTGCAGACAGGGTTAAAATTTGTACTGTTTCCAGCCACTGAGAAATACAGCTACTGGCCTCAATTCTTTACATTAAAGGAAGCTATAAAGTGTATAAGCTTAAAGACTATCACCTTTCCTGGTTTTTGTGGGGTTGTTTGGTTGGGTTTGTTTTTGTTTCTTTTTTCCTTACAGACAATCTGATGGACAAATATTGAATGCACGATCTCTACTCCAGAAACATACATGTATTAATAACACAGGAAGGTGTTTCAGAACAACTGATTTCCTGTAAATATAGCATTAAAAAGGCAAAATCTTTAAATCCTTATTTAGGCTTGAGTTCTTTAATGCCTCACTCGATGGCAGACACCTACATGGATAATTCTTTTCCTTTAAATTTGAACCGGCCCCATTCAAGAGGGAAAGGTGTTCCTTACCAACACTCCTTCGTGATGTGATTCAGGAAAGAAAGCTCTTCAGTCGCCAGGACACAGGCAGAACAGCAAGAAAACCACTTTCAGCAAAGACTCTCTTACTTTTGAGTTGTTTTTTTGATATTGCCAGCGTCACATGGAGTTAGACAAAACTGCTTCAAATGCTTCGGCTACCAAAGACCATTCTACCTGAATTCGTAACTGCAAAGGAGACGAAGAAACAGAAGTTAATTAGCAAAGTGTTGCACAGCTCTCAGACATTGCCCCAAACTGGGTACAAACCCACTGTCATTTATGGGACAAGTGACTCACCTGCTGCTCCAGACTTCTTCTATGAAGGCTTCTGAAAACCCCAACAGAGCTTGTTTGAAGCCCTTGCACATTTTACGGTGATAATTATATTATCTGAGTCAATATCTACCTTTCCTGCTCAGTTCATAAATGGGAAAGCGTGACAAAGTTTACAGAATATATCAAAAAAGGCCAAACACCGAGAATCTGCAGATTAAAAGAAAATATCCATTCATTCATTGACACTGCTAGTTATTTTTTAAAATCCATGAAATACTGAACCAATTTTTTTTTATGAGGTGTATTGTGTTAAAAAGAAGACAGAGAGAAAGACCAAGCATGGTTACTTTAAATTGGTTTTAATACGTCTTTCAGGACAAAATAAACAGGTGTGAATCCAAAATTCATCTGAAAAAAAATCTGCATAAGGTGTAAGTATAGTTTGCACATTACTATGGAAATGCCTAATTTTCTCTCATTTATAAAGTGCATTATGCCAGAACTGTAAGACCATATATAGCCAAATTAAAAATTACAAAAAGCTTCAAAATCCCATACTGCATGTGTTAGGAAGCCTACACCTGACTACCGAGGCCGTACTGTAAGGGGAAGTGTGAGAAAATATGTCAAATACATTAATGTGCATGAGTGAACCAGTAATTGCTACTTTTAAAAAACTATAATCTCTACCAGGAAATTATGCCATTTTTGGTAGATGTTTACCCTTATTCTTCCACCCCGATACCTCACAGGATGATGCACCAACCAGTTTACATCATTATTATTGCATTTGGCTGGGGAGAGAAAAGAAATTAAATTCATCACAGTGATTGTTATTAAAATGAAATTCCAAACAATACAAAATAATACACATGGGAAACAGCCAAAATTAAAGCAAATTTACATAAAGATGTTCTTATTAAGCATTGTGTCACTCCACAGATGAAAAAGCTTCTCGATAAAAACCTGGACTTATATTTAACTCAATGTCAACACATATGAAATTCAATAGGAGAAGAATTTTCATTTAAAAAACCCATGCCATGAAATGAAATGCATGATATTATTTTTACAGTAAGAGTACGTCAGGGGATAATTGCCAATTACATCACGCCCATTGACAACATCACTGGGTTTTTGACGAATGCAGAGACAGGCAAAGGGGACTTAATAGAAAGATTAGAAGAAGGCTTAATAGAAAAATTACTTCATGGGAAATAAAAAGATTAGGTGAACAAGAGAAAGTAATCCTGTGAAAATTGGGCTATAGAACTTAGTTTTTTCAATATGCCAAATACTTCATTTAGAGTTGACTATTTAATCCAGTTATTTGAGTGGCTCGTTAGTGATTGAGGACTTGCCCTATAAATCAACCAAAGCTTAAATATAGCAGCCACCCCCTTAAAACAAATGCACTGATGAAGTTTGGACCAAGACAAGGAACAGGTCTGGATTGTCCAGTAGGCAAATGTCACAGGGTTAAGCCATGTGAAAGCAAAACTTAATTACCGACTCCCCAAGCATCTTTACGCTTAAATTACCTCATATAAATGAGGCACATTTCACAGAGCTTGTAATAATTAGCACTTACCAAGCACCTTGCAGAAGTGCTTCACAAACATTAAATAAGGTTAGAAATCTCATTGCTCTTTCATTAGAGCACCCATAAATGTGACGGGGAAAGCTTCCTCAGCAATGTCAGAGCAAGGACTGCACTGTTCGACCCAGGCACCTCCAAAAAAACCATGAAAGAACCAAGGATGTATCCCTATTTGCCATTATACAGATTGAGAAAGAGCAGCAGGGAGATTCAACAACTCCTCAAAGATTGACAAAGGAGTTGTAGCTGGATTAAGGATTCACAGCTTTGGGCTCTTTTGATTTTTTTAAGAGATAAAGGGCATTTGCTCACAGCATAAAGCCACAGTCTTCGATGAACTGGCACATGAAGAGACTGCACTGCAGGTGGAGGGTGTAAGAATTCTGCCTTACAAGCAGCAATACATCCCTAAACAGTTAAATTTAGTGCTTAATCTGTGCATGAACCACTACTTTTGTAATTGCTTCTTGACACAAACGGGTTTGAACATTTACTGTTCTTTACTATTGAGTAAGAAAAGACAAAGGGGATGAGTGTGGCACACGATACTCCAGAGAGGTTTGTCTTTTTCCCCTATCTCTGATGCAAAGAATATCATCATTTCCTATTTTTGGAGTTATCGCCTCAGAAAAGGGCTGTTTTCACACCCTGGCTAATGGCATTACTGGGGTTGTGATGCCATTTCCACAGCCCCTGGGAATGATTCAAATATATTGTTGTAACTCTGAGACATATTAGAAAAGGAACGTGTACTTGGAAAATTCCACAGTTAGGGACTAATTCCTTTTCTAGTTGATTCTTCTTACTCTCCAAAGCACAGCCATTATAAATTAGAAGATCCACAAGGAAATCCAAGTGTGTTCTTTGAAGATTCATGGCTTTTACACGTCCCAGCCCTGGCTGCCACATGTCATCCCCTTCTATAAATAGACATTACATTTTGCTGAGGAAGGTCAGGACGGGTGAGGGGTGTAACAGTGCAGAAGTCATCGTTAAGTCACGCATTGATTTATTCTTGGAAACCTGGGAGCTGTGGAAGCGAAGGGGCCTCACGGAGCTGCGAGTCCCACCTTCCTCAACAGGTAATTACAGCAAAACTTTGGAAATGACAATCACCACATCAGCTGGAAGAAACGTCTGGGGTTCACCAACAGACCACAGCGTGGTGTCTCAGCTCCACTCCACCTGGGTGTTCTGGACCCTGAGGACTCTCTTCCTTCCACCTTCACTCGCTCCTTCCCCGCTGCATAAAATACTGCACATCCGACTGTTCCCACAGGGGTTGTCTGTTACTGCACAAGGTATTTGAAAGAATTACTAGACAGGTCAATTTTCTCCAGTTTGGGCCTTCTAAAGATGTTATTTCAGCTACTAGAATAGATTCTGTAATAAAAATACTTTAGCTGCTCTCCATTCATTTCAATGGGCTATTAAAAAATCATTATATAAAAAAATATAGATAATTGTGTTTGCTTTGCACAGTCAAAAAAATACCTTACTTAGCTTTAGTGTGTTTTAGAAACTGAATTCTGTATAATCTCACCAATTTAAGTCCATATAATTGTGTTTGCTTTGCACAGTCAAAAAATACCTTACCTAGCTTTAGTGTGTTTTAGAAACTGAATTTTGTATAATCTCACCAATTTAAGTCCACGCTATCCATCTTATTACTGCCAACCCAGACACACAGATATTTTAACATTTAAAGTTGAAGAACAAATCCAAGCTTCACAATTCTAAAGTTACCCAGTAACTACTAGAAAAGGCTTAATACTGGTTTCAGCAAGAAGAAATAACTCTATATGGAAGTGAAATACTTTCAAATAGTAACACAGATCAAATTTAAAAAAAATATTTTTCCTTATTTTGTTACGAATACTTTTTAGATTTATTTTTTTTTTACGATGGCCACCAAGGAAATTTTACACTGAATTTACTGAGAACTTAAAGATAAATAAAATGTTACAATACAGAATATGTGTTTTGTTTTTATTCAATTCCCAGAAGAACGTGTTGGTTTTAAATAGCATCTCCATTTAAAGAGGAAGCAGTAAGGAACAGGTGAACACTACATCGTGCTTCTCATCACTGAAGTTCTTCATTTGTTTAAAACAGCTGGATCATCGACTCTCTGGATTTTCCAACTCCGACCCATTTAACTAGGGAGGAAAACACATCTATTAGAACAAAGTGAGAGTAAATATTATAATCAATGAATTATTGAATATATCACCTCCATCTGTGCCCACGACCACACACAGGAACCCTGAGTTCCAGGCTCTGCTATCAGATGCTTCCTGATCCATGAACAAGACCAGAACTCCTAAGGTTGAAACTACCTCACACTCCCCATATGGGACCTTTGAGGTGCTTCATGGAAAACAAAAATTACACATGCCATTGTGCTTGCCAGTGTCTTTGCTACTGTGGAAATTCATAGAATCATAGAATGGTTTGGGTTGGAAGGGACCTTAAAGATCAGCAACATCCAACCTCTCTGTCCTGGGCAGGGACACCTCCCACCAGACCAGGTTGCTCAAAGCCCCATCCAGCCTGGTCTTGAACCCCTCCAGGGATGGGGCAGCCACAGCTTCTCTGGGCAACCTGTTCCAGTGTCTCCCCACCCTCACAGGAAAGAATTTTTCCCTAATATCTGATCTAAATCTCCCCTCTTTCAGTTTAAAACTGTTACCCCTTGTCCTGTTGCTCCACTCCCTCGTAAAGAGTCCCTCCCCATCTCTCCTGCAGGACCCTTTCAGGTACTAGAAGGCACTCTAAGGTCTCCCCGGAGCCTTCTTTTCTCCAGGCTGAACAAACCCCACCAGAGAGGAGCAGAAGGGTAGAATCACCTCCCTCGCCCTGCTGGCCACGCTGCTTTTGACACAGCCCTCTTTTGAAATTCCCTTCCAAACTCCACCACTCAGTTCTTGGCATCTGTAGAACTTCAGCAATTAGATTTGAAGAAAACTGGATGGTGCAGGACATAAAGTGAAAGGAAGAGATCAGTAAAGGGAGGACACCAGACTTACCATGCACTGAAGCATGGTGCAGAGATCCAGGGATCCCAAAAGTCTTCAAATGAGAGAAGGTGGCAGTTTAACAAGAACAATAAAGGTTTCTCTTTCCTCTGGTGAAATCCTTGTCAGCAGCAGCTTGGAGCTCTCTCCAACGCTGCAGACCTGCTCACAGAACATCACCCTCTGCTGCCATTTACCATCACTAGCCCAACCATGGGTGCCTCCATTGCCTCCTGCCCAAATCAAGCCACTCCCTAACGAATTGAGTGCTTCTATATAGGTGTTCCCTATCTGCTGTGGCATCTTCAGATGTATGGTTACAGGAAGATTTACCTGGCACTCCAACATGGTTCTCTACACAACGGATGTAATTCTGGGCCTTGGGTGGGAGGTCCTCCCATTTCCGTGCACCGGTTGTGTCAGTCTTCCACCCAGGCATCGTTTCGTACTCTACTTCCACCTTCTGCAGTATCTCCTGATTAGCTGTGGGAGAACAATTTTTAATCACAGTTGATTTTAGCTGCTCCACCTTATAAGAGCACACCTATGGTTCTTGATCAACAAAGTCTTTTGACAACAGTTAAAATCTGATACGTGTAAAAACAGTATTTCTACTGGTTGGTTGGTTCATTCATTCATTCATTCTTAATTTAGATTAAGTTGTTACTTTGGAAGATAACCCTGATTCGAGAGGATCCAGGAACACAGTTTCCTCCTCTAGAAACTGTACATTGTCAGAAGACTACAGTAGTATTTTTGAGGAAACAAATTATTTGAAGTTTATAGTAGTTCCACTTTTTGGTTCAGATTTGCACATAAAAAAAAAAAAAAAAGAAGTCTTCCTGTAGAGAAAACACTAGTTCCTCAACCATTTTTGTCTTTAAGGAACAGGGTTAAATCAGGCTTGACAAAAACTTCGATGTCTGCAACCTTTTCTCCACTGGAATTCCCTCTGTGCCCACACTACCATCAATGGTGGGAAATCTGGTTGCTGCCAGCCCTCCCCATGCCTCCAGAATCCCCCATCTCAATGGAACAAACCCCTCATCTTGGCCTGACCATCACAGGTATCTTGAAAACATAATTAACGTCAGCAAAACACATATTATTACATCTTAAAAGTTTGAAGATCAATCCTACTGAGAGGCAACATGCATTCTTATTAACCATGACGTTGTTGCTGTTAATTACAGTTATATGATGGCAGCCCATAAGCAGCTTTATTCTGCCTGTATCGGTGTCACTACTGCACAGCTTAAGGACTGCTTTTATTTTTACTTTACTTCATTAAAGGCTGTTGCCAATGATACTGTTATTGACTTGAGTCTTGCTGACTTTCAGATCACCTTAAAAAAAATTAAATAATCTAATGGGACAAGACACAGAGGTTCTAACACAAGATTTCTCATTTGCTTCTTGTCACCATACCTACAGATGGAAGGCAAATGAAAAATGCTAACATACCAACACAGCAGCCTTTATACTCACTCTATAGTTTGGCACATAACTACATGTCACCATACCTACAGATGGAAGGCAAATGGAAAGTGCTAACATACCAACACAGCAGCCTTTTACTCATACTATAGTTTGGCATATTTCTAGGGAAGTTCTAGCAAAAAAGAAATCAAACCTGATGTTAAAAAGCAGCTCTTCCCAACAGGTACAACTTAACAGGCCGGAAAAAGAAAAACAAACATAACTATTTAACAACATACCTGGAAAATACGGAATTCTTTTTCCACCCAATTTGTATGCAATGCCAATTTTAATCTCATCAAGGACATCAAGAATATCCAGTTTTGTTAACGCCAAACTGTACAGAAAAACATTGGTTAGAGTTACACACATGATGAATCTTCTCTTTAATGCTTTCCACCTTCTTTTTAATTTTCTTTCTAGTTTTATATTCACCAATCCAGCTCAGGCAACCCAGCAGGCAGAAATACACAAATATATTGAACTCTGAACACCGGTAATTTAATTCATGCCTCTGGGATGAGCACATGACTGAGTTACTCAAACACACTTCCAAACGCTTGACTGCTCCTACAGGTGCAGAGTGTCCGGTTCAGCCTGTGGAAATGCAAAGTGGCTCTTCCTGGACTTGGTTCAGGTGTGTATGACAGCACGGCACTTTCCATCACTTCTAGTGGTCATTGCTGCTGGCTCACAACAACTGGACTTGGTTCAGGTGTGTATGACAGCACAGCACTTTCCATCACTTCTAGTGGTCATTACTGCTGGCTCACAACAACTCTCAGACAGGCTTATTTACTAAATCGTAATTTTAAAACGGACTGGAATAATCTGGCTACTAAAAATCACATATACAGTTCAGTAGGAAGATCCCAGCCTGCCTTTCAGAGCGTGGGCTGTGCTACCTTTTTTATCCTGTGAAAGAACACAATGGAACACAAAATGGAACTTCATGAATCACAGAATTATATGGGGTTGGAAGGGACCTCTGGAGATCATCTAGTACAACCCCCCTCCCAAAGCAGGTCCACCCAGAGCAGGTTGCACAGGAACGTGTCCAGGTGGGGTTTGAATGTCTCCAGAGATGGAGACTCCACCACCTCCCTGGGCAGCCTCTTCCAGGGCTCTGCCACCCTCAAAGAAAAGAAGGTCCTCTTCATGTTTAGATGGAACTTCTTACGTTCAAGTTTGTGCCCATTTCCTCTTGTCCTATCCCTGGGCATCACTGAAAAAAGACTGGCCCCATCCTCCTGACACCCACCCTGTAAGCATTTGTAGACATTGACCAGATCCCCCCTCAGCCTTCTCTTCTCTAGACTAAAAAGACCCAAGTCCCTCAGCCTTTCCTTATCAGAGAGACGTTCTAGTCCCCTCATCATCTTTGTAGCCCTAAGACGACACCATAACATTCACTGATCAGAATATAACTGTATTTTAAAATTAGTCAAATTCTCCAGAAACAATATGCCAGGTATCGCTTGGTAAAAATCTAAGTACTTAAGGATTTAGACAGGTCTGTGGATTATAGCCTGTACTGTACATGCTCAGTAAGCAAACAATGAATGCAATGATTAAATGAAAAGACCTTTTGGGGAAAGAATCAGCACAGAGCCACTTCTTCAACTTTTTGGAAGTTTTTGTCTCCCCATGTTTTCTCACTGTCAGTTACCAGAGATTACATAGGTTTGATGTAAAGTGCAGTAATTGTATAAAACTGAAATGGAAGGAAACATAATACCTTCCTAATACTATTTCCACATAAACTTGACCTGTGTAAGTTAAAGCAAAATATAAACCCAAGTAAAAAAAAAAATATTTTAAAACTCCTGATAAATTAATGAACAAAGATCATTGTTCCTTTGTAACATTAGCATAAACAAAATTAAGTCTCAGTTTATAAGACATAAAAATTCCCACGGTCATGTGTTTGCATATATGAACAGATTTGCCTGAATGCATGAACAAAACTGTAATGAAACTTTTGCAACTTTTCCTGAAAATGTAGATTGGTAACTTGTTATAAATTAATGGCTTGTGATAGTTACTAGCATTTTAGCACAAGACATATGCCAGCTTGATGGCATTATGCTCTCGAACAGTTCCTTTAAATGGCCACTTTTCCTTAAAAATGTCAATTTAAGATATATTTTAAATTATAAAATAATTTATCAAACAAGTAAGTCGCTCAGTCCCAATGAAAATAAAACTCAACCCATTAAAAGCAGCATTTATAATTCAATACTAGACTACAACTTTGTAAATAATGGAACCTGTCAGGACCGGAACGAGAGCTGTGCCAGCTGCTGTACACTTTGGGTCATCACACTTGTTTCACTGAAAAAGGTAGTGGTTCTGAATGATGCAGATTTGGTTCTACAACTATGATCCACCAGAGCCAACCACAGCTCAAACTCAGCTGGTTTGAGATTACAACATAAGACAGTATGAAAGCACTGGATCAGGAACACTAGAGCAAACTGGTAGAAAACCAATATATCAATCCAATCTACACTGGCATCTGATGTAAGCAAAGTGAAAACATATAGGAAAAAAATCACTGGTATGATGTTGTAAAATCACTTGATTTGGAAAAAAAAAAGTCAAAGAAATTAAATTATATTAGCATTAAGACAATTCTCAGCTGCCCACTGTGAATTATTTTACTGCTTAAAATGTAACACTTTACTGGACTTATATTAATGTTACCTACATATTTATTCTGCGAAGCACAAAATTATCACTTCCCAATGTAGCGCAAAATCTGTGATGCTTACGCAGTGAATCCGTTGATCATATGAGCATATTTCAAAATGACAAGATCTAACCAGCCACAGCGTCTCTTTCTGCCTGTAGTTACTCCCCACTCGTGGCCACGGGACTGTAAAAGATCTCCAATTTCCTAAAAGACGACAGAAAGAATGCTGATGGCATTTCACTGACAAATAGCAGGAAAACCAAATCTAAACAAATATAGAAAAATAGCAGGAAAAATATAGTTCTTCAATTCCAACCCTTTTCTGTAGGAAGAAAAGAATAAGTCTTTATCAGGAGTGGACTTTGGTGGACAGTATAGCCCCTCACACACAGGATTTCTGCATTTCAATCACTAGCATTTCCAGAATACTTCTTTAATATGACTATTTTATGTCACAATGAGACACCTTTCTTCCTTCTTTATCTGATAGGAAGATTTCCTTGAAATTCAGCTCTGTTTTTAATGTTGTTTGTGTTTTCTTTCTTTGTCTGATCTCCTGGCATCTATTGTTTTGAGGGATGAGACTGTAACTGCTTGGGACACCACCAACGTGCATTCAATGTTTAGGTCAACAGACTCCTTGACTTGACCATGCCAAGGAGATCATGGTCAAGGTTCTACCACCATATTGAGACTGCCAACTGTTCCCTTCAGTCTGCCAGTGTTTCTAATGTGTTAAAAATGAAGAAGAAAGAAACTTTACGCTCATGATTCACAAAACTAAAGGAAATACCCAATTCATTTGAGCCATTAGAGAAAGGATTTTAGCGACTAAACCCTTAGATTAGATTCAGATGACTGACCTGGAGATTGCTGCGTGTATAGCTCAATCAATACCCCGAGCTTTCTAGTTTCTCAATAATGAAAATACAATAGGCAGTTTAGAAGAATCAAAATCTCTCCCTTTCTTTTTATTGCTCAGTTGGTGCATGACTGGCTGACTCACACACCCCATTTATTCTATAAATTGCACAGAACACAGGCTGTTAAGCACAGAAGTTGTACCTTATAATTTAAACTTTCCTGCAGCGCACTGACAGTTCCAGTCTCCAACAAACTCTTGCCACTCAAACGCATCTAACAATATTACCTAAAGTGATGAATGACTCACACACCCCATTTATTCTATAAATTGCACAGAACACAGGCTGTTAAGCACAGAAGTTGTACCTTATAATTTAAACTTTCCTGCAGCGCACTGACAGTTCCAGTCTCCAACAAACTCTTGCCACTCAAACGCATCTAACAATATTACCTAAAATGATGAAGTCATCTGTTTTCACATCATTCATTACAACAGAAGTGTGGTCACCGTGATGTAAGATCATTGCTCGTGTTTCACTTTTATGAATGAAAATACTTTAAGTTTATAAGGTAATTCTCCTCTCTCTGTGAGCGTGATGGCTTGGCATTATTATTACGGTGTTTATTTATCCCTGGTATATCCTTACCCCATTCCATTGACCTGGTTTTTTGGCAACCATACGTACTGCATTTTGTAACATTAAACCTACATTGATCTGCTCGGTAGGGAAGGCTCCGATCCCCACCCGAGTGGTGTAGGCCTTCACCACACCGTACACATCGCCGACGTGCTGGGGAGGAATTCCGAGCCCGGTGCAGACGCCGCCCACGGTGCAGTTGGATGAAGTCACGAAAGGATACGTGCCTGTCAGAAACACACACAACACCACAACCCTCACCAACAACAAACAGAGATTCATTTTCCTCTACAAGTTGAAAGAAAATTTTTCACCTGTACGTTTGGCTGTAAAGCTAAACTGAAACAGCAGCCGAAGAGCAGGGCAAATTCTTCTTACTACATGTTCCTGTTTTGCTTTGAAGAGAACAAATTAAGCTGCTCTTCCCCAAATTGCTTCCTTCTGTAGTGAGTAAGATCCACAGAAATCCCCCCAAAATAAAGGATTTTTCCCACTCAAACAGCTGACTTATCTTGGCAATTTCCATAAGTGTATTATTAGCGAGCACGACGAATAAGAAAGTAATACTACTTTATTATCCTTAAGTATACTTAAGGAGGTACCCAGGATCCATGATCATTTCCAACCCGTAAGCTTTTCTGCATTCATCCTTTGCAGTTCCACTGAGGATTGCCCACAAGGGAGAAATTTAAAAGCATCTCAATACCACTGCCATTAGGCACGGGATCTATTACAGGATGCTGCTGCTGCTGCTGAGTAAAGCTTTTTTCACTGTCATGTGTCTCACAAAACATTTCCGCAACGTCCACAGAGAGCCTGGTGAAAGGTTCAGTCTGACATTCCCTGTGCTCTGCACAACCAGCTCTGAGACTCTGCAGCAAATTTTTTTAAGCCTTCAGAGCTCATTCATGATCTCTACACCGTGACTCTGGATTGGAGCATCTCTCCAACTCTTTGTTTCATCTTCACGGAGTACTGAGTAGTTTAATTAGACTTTTGGTACGAAAGCAGAGCAGAGATCAAGTGAAGAAGCCAGACTTACAGGTTATCTGCACCAGTTTAATCTTTCCTCCCCTGCAGAGGAATTATTTCAGCAGTGCTGCAGTGGGTTTCTGGAACGAATGGCAACGCACACACGCATTTTGAAGTAATAAAGATAAGAATATCTGGAGTGAAATTTCAACTCCACTGGAATAAACTTCAGTAAAAATCAATATTTAAATCCTAAGCACAATCCTGTTAATGATACAGTCTCTGGCTTACTGTGCTTTACTTTTGGGATATCTGTTCCTATGAAAGGAAAGACTATTTTGCTTCTCTAGTTTCCTGTTGTTTATAAAGCTGATATAAACACAAATCAAAATAAAGTTAATCAAAATAAAACTAACCTCTTTGGAGTTCAATTGAGTTTAGAATTTAACTTACCAAAGTCGATATCAAGCAAAGCTGCATTGGCTCCTTCAACTAAAATCTTCTTTGGGGAGCCATGAAGAGCTTCATACATAAAATACACACCATCTCGAACCATGGGTCTTATTTTTTCAGCGTATCCCTGCAAATTTGAGTAGAACTGTCAGTTCTCCAGAGAATGGCTGGAAGTAGGGAATACTCTGTTCACTTTTGAAACACGATACACAGAGATAACACCTAATACACCAGCTTCAATAACTGTTTTACCTGAAAAATCCAACCATTAGCTTATCCTCTATTGAAAACAAGTCAATGTATTGAAACACTCATGTAAGAAAACATGACTTGTTATGGCATTAGAATACCATGATTTCTGTACCACTTCTATTCACAGAGATGTCTTATACCAACCTCCTTTTGTTGACTTAGTCTCTATATAGTGTGTCTATAGTCTAGACACACTGACAGTGGGACTTGGAAATAGTGCAAGCTCCAAAAGAAAAACAAAAACCCCTACAACAAATATTAAAAAATATCTTTAAAGGAAGGGCATCAGCTCTGAACAAATACCAGACAAAACCTGGGAAAGATAAGGGATTTTTTTAGCATCCTCTTTTCTTACATATTCACCAAAGAAGATGTTTTACCAGTGGCTCTTCTGAATTTATTTATAAAAAGACATTTTTCTTACAATACCAGGATCTTGAAACACAGCTTCCACAAACAATTCTTCAGTAAGCATGGAAGCCTCTCAGATAGCCTAGCCCAGTCATGGCTAGAGGCTGCTAACTGCATGTGTCACCCTGTGTTCTCTTGGCTACTTTAATACTTTTATTTAGTAAAATATTTTTATGTAAAATAACTGTTTAAAAAAAAAGTAAAGTATTATAGGAGACTTAGACCATCCACAAAATTTATATTAGTGCCCACAATAAAAGAATATTCTATTACAAAGCATAGTTACTGCTTATTAAGCAGTTTTATAATAATGAAGATATGCATTTTTAATTTTAAATAAAGAATTAGTAGTTCTGGTATGATTTTTTAAAAAATTAAAATAAATATTACTGTTTTCTTCTATCCTTTCCTTGAAATTGAACAAATATTTTAAGTGTTAAATCCTTACCTTTAGCTTTTTCAATTGTCCTTCTATATCTATTTCCAATGTGGGAAACATTGACTTGTATTGCTGTGCCAGATTTTTAAATCTGTAAAATATTGAAATCATAGCTATGAAGAACACTGAGTTCACAGAACCTTTGGCAAGAAGAACTCAGCTTCAATTATACACAGTATATACAGAGAGCTATAGAGAGAAAATATCTCAACTAGTGCATTTCCCAATGCACAAGATTTCATTTTAAATTATAAGAAACTCTGAAGTACAGGAAATATATACACACATTCTTTCCAGTTTTTCTTTCACCTTCTAGACAATTTATATACAAAATTCAGACACATATTTAAAAACATCTCCTTAAAAGCAAATCTGTCAGTGAAAAGGTATCCGTCTTTTTAAAATAATATTTAGAAATGAAAATACTTGTACCTTGAAGAAAATTCATCAAAGTCAGAAAGGAGGTCACAAATTCGAAGGCCTGTTCGTGCAGCTTTGGAAGAATATGTTGGTCCAATCCCCTTCTTTGTTGTGCCAATACTAATTAAAAAGAAACACCCCCCAACATGTATAGGTATAATATACTTTAGCATAAATTTAGCACGATATGCAAAAATACACCTTATGCTAAGTAATTTTGTTACAGCTCTTCAATATACCATATACAGGGCAGGAGTTCTGAGACATTAGAAAAATGACTAAAGTTCTATAGTAATAACAAATACATAGCAACTTCCATGCTTCGTTGGATTTGCATAAATATTGCTAATATTCATGGTATGCACCAAAGCATTAAGCTTTTGGTCTGGCTGAGACAAGATTAGTTGAAACTACACTATCCTGTGGTACTACTACATCCCTTCGCACAACCAATAGGAAACAAATGTTATTTTCACAGTTGCAGCAGTGCCTCTAATAGTAAATAAAACACAGTTCTGTGAGCAATCTAACTGGTTTCCTATGGCTTTGCCATTATTCATATCATTTCCATCCCTATAAACTCTTCCTGCCTCCTATAGAATAATAGTTTGGGTTGGAAGGGACCTTTAACGGCCATCTAGCCCAACCGCCCTGCAACGAGCAGGGACATCCTCAACTAGATCAGGTTCCTCAGAGCCCTGTCCAACCTGACCTTGAATGCCCAGGGATGGGGCATCTACCAACCCCCTGGGCGTGGGAAACCTGTTCCAGTGTTTCACTACCCTCATTCTAAAAATTTATTTCTTCCTTTATCTTGATGAGGATAAAAATGAAATTGTTTCCCTACCCGCATGCCTATTCTCAAGTGCATTTTAGAAATACAAGTAGAGATCTCAAAACTACTGTATGTTAAGTTTGGCTGAAATTTTCCAGTGGGATCAAAAACTAACAGGTGACTAACAGAGAGCAAAACACAGTGTGTTCACATAAACCTTTGTTCTTTCAGAAACCACAATAACAATGTTTGAATATTGTGCTAAAGTGTAAGATTAAAATTAAAATAGATACTAATATCTCCATGAAGTATAAGTGAATAAACATTACAAGAATGGAACTTCAGACCTGATTCAAAAGAGCATCACTAGTTTGATATCAAAATTGGATTGGAAACACCATTTTAATGGAAATTAGTTTTAAAGATTTGGTAGGAATTTCAAAATGTCTCTACGTGTTGCAGAGAACTGGAAAATGGAAATATGTAAGAACTCATACCCTGCCTTTTCAGTAATACCTCAGTTTCTTCACTAATATAAGTAGGAGCAGAACAGAGTCACAGAATTCGTAACATCAGGAAGGCTCTTTAGAGACACATTGCATTTCTGCTTTCCAAAATTACATCAATTTTTCAAATTTGCATCATTATTAATGATGGTGTTAAAAATACATACTTTTTTCCTTCTTGTGCTTGACGTTGCACTTCCTGGAGCCCATCTACTGCCTGGTGAAAGTCAAACACTGCAATGGAAAGTCAAATGGATATGGTGGGAAACCAAAAGAAGAAAAACATTCTTTAAATCCCAGACATCTATAATTTTAAAACCAAGTGCCCTTGTTATCATTGACAGTGCACAGACGTCCTCATGTGAGAACAGAGCTAGGACTGCTTAAACTTTGTGAAAACATGTAAAACATGGCACTTTAGTGGATACATATTCCATTATTATGTTTCAGATACAAAACATGCAAAGAAGCCGTATTAGATCACATATATGACTGCTCTGTGAAGTAATAATGTAGTTTAGCACCATAAACTCATTTATGAGTCTTTTCCCCCTTCAATCATCACTTACCTATATGTGCTCTATCTGATATAATCAGTCTTTTCTCCCAATCTTTTAAGCCTGGCAGAAAATATAAAGAAAAGTATGATTTCCGCTGTGCTGACTGGTCAAACTTTGAGACTTACTTTTAGTAAATTTTTAATTACAACGTAAATGAATATCAAATATCAGCAGTGATTTTGTTAACAAACTTCTATCATTTTTTATTTTCTCTGCTTTCTCATTTTGGTATGGGACAAAGATACTCACTTCTAAATACCAGAATGCTGTGGATTACTTGCAATTCTTATTTTAAGGAAAGAGTCCAGTTTAACTTGCTATACAATAAATCACTTAAACTCCATTTGTGCCTCAGAAAATAGAGAATTTATGCATATAGAAACAGAAAAGAATTTAAGATGCAAGAGACCTTATAAGGTCACCTGGTCCAAAGCTTTGCTCAAAGCAGAAGCAATTAAGTTTACACTTGGGTACAGAAATGGGGAAACAGAAATTCTGGGTTAAATCATCACAGCTTGAGGTCAAAGGGAGCTTTGCCACACACTTTAGGATTTTATTTTCTACCTAAGGTAGTATCAAATGCCATAAAACTCCCTGAAAACCCATGAAAAAGACTGCTTTTGAAAATCTGTCTGAAGATTACAATAATATTCAACATTTTAAATACTGCTTTCCTCATTCAAAATCCAGAATGTTATTACACTGAATATTTATGGTCAGAAACAAAGTGTAAAAAAAAAAAAAAAAAAAGGTCAACCTGGCTGCCAATATAAAGGTTAAAAATTACTCGATACAAACCTTTCTTTTCATTCTTTTCAGCTTCTTCAAACAGGCCTGGTAAATGTATAACCACTCCATTACCTTTGGGAACATAAATGATTTATTTTAAAGCAAGAAATAAACCACTCCTTCTTAGGATGTAAAGGCATGTAAACACTTGCAGTCTGAAATTTTATTTATAAAGTAAGACTGAAGTTTCTCACAAAGCAATCAGGAGAACTTTTTGGATAAATCCTCCTTTTGGGTAAGCAGCTACAAGCCTGATACAATCAGAAACAACAGAGCTTACTTGTTTCAGCTGTGAATGCAGGACCTGCCCTGAAGCCAGCTGAGCTAAGCGGATTCTTCTCTTTCTCTGTGGTAGGACTTTGCACCACCACGACTTCAGCCTCTATTGTTCCCTGGTACAAGCTCAAAGAAGTCTGTGCCCTTACAGCACTGACACACAGCTTGTGTGACAGTATTTAAATTTTATTCAATATTCACATATTTGTTTTAAACTTGGCTCAACCAATGCTTGATACATTAGCAATGCCTTCTCCCTGCTTCTGAGCTACCATATAGAAGGCACAAGGAACACAGAGCATTATGGATGAGAGGTGGAGTATTAAGAATGGAGCAAGGCAGAAGGAACACAGAGCATTACGGATGAGAGGTGGAGTATTAGTGATGGAGTGGGCTGGAAACAGCTGCACCTTCCTTCTTGGGAAGAGCAGAAATATCTGCAAAAGCCTGTCTCAGCCTAAATTTAGGATAACTTAAGCTATAGTCTTTACTAACTGACAGGAGGAAAGAGGAAAACAAGGTAGTACGCTGTATTTAGCAGAGGGAAAAAATAAAATATGTATTTTATACATTTCAATCACCTGTTTGGAAATTATCAAATGGAACAAAACTGCAACTACAGTTCCATGACTCACTAAAATTTACACTCATTTCTTACACAGTCTATAGATGTTTCTTCTGTCAGAAAGAACCATGATTTTGGACAAGTTATAAGACTTAAATTTGTCTATCACTTAAATATGAGTTTAACGTCCAGTAAGCAGTGCAATCTTTTTTGCAATGCCATTTGCATCAAACAGCTTTACAGTGAAATACAAACATCACCTTCAACAGCTATTAACATGAACAAAAATTAGACTGGATAATGACCTTCCAGAGCCCCATAGCCTGGAAATTATTTCTGGAAAGTCAGTAAAGAGACGTCAGAGATAAACAATATTATTTATTTAGCCTAAGTGCTGGGTTTTGTGTCCTCAAAGTACAATATTTGTATTTCTGAAAGTATAAAAGGAGTGTTCAAGTGGTGGGTGGGATCCAAACTTGTACCATAAATAGAAGAAAGAACAACACAATGGAAAGAGGTGGTTCTTACTTTCAGTTTGCTAGTAGCAGACACTAAAGTGACAATGAACATAGAAGTGACAATGAACATAAAATAACTCTTCATGTTAAAGCAACAGTGAAATAAAAGTCAAACAGCTGAAGCAAATCTGACTGGCAGTCACCTGTATGTTTTCCTTTGTTTGCTACTACAAAATATGGTTGCAGCTACCCACCATGTAATGTTATTTTATTTCATAAATTCAATAATTCTCTTACCAATAAAAGAAATTGCCTTTGCATTAATGATGCCACTAGGAAACAGGTGAAAATCATATTCTTTCCCATCAACAACCACAGTATGGCCTGCGTTATTCCCACCCTGCAACAGAAAGAAACATCAGAAGATTAATGGTCTTTTACTACCCCTCTAAACTCTCAGCAGATCATTTGATAACATCATCTTTTTTTTTTTTTATTTATACATTCGTGTCTTAGGTCACTGCTTCCTCCAGCTTAGAGGTTCTTGAGATGTTGTAGTATTGTAAAAAAAGGGTTCAGACAGGAAGATTAGGGGGCTGAAGATGTGTAGAGTTAGAAAGCAGAATGACACCATGGAGTCAAGGCAGGACGGGGCAGAGCAAGAGCAACTGCTGGAGCGGTGGAAGAAGCCAGAAGAGAACTGAAGCTTTCTGGGGACAAAACTGGATGGAGCTACAACCCATGGAGTCCCGTCTCTAATGTGCCTACACAAGCCCATCCTTTTTGGGCATCTTCTGTGCACGGTAATTTCTTTGGGTCTAAGCCTACAATGCCCAATAGGTCCTTTCGAAGCTCTTCCTTCCCACCCACCCACCCACCCACAGCTGCTGCTTCTCCAGGTGTTCAAGATAGAAGGACTGTATAATGCTGGGAGCATAAATAGTCCTTGCAGCTTTGTAGAATCTCCCTGCCAAGGGATGATCTTCCCAGTTAGCACCACTACCACTTCATGGAGTTTGCTACAGCTCAGACCTTACATGACCATTTACAAGACCTGAGACTGGGAACTGGTATTGTCCTCAAAAAACTTGAGTTTTTGCAAATAGCTTTAAAAGAAAATGATGGAACAACACAAAAACTTCAAGAGGTGAGTAAATGAAGGTTGTAAGTTGATTTAAATGGAAACAGTAAAGAGTTTTAAAAAGTAAAGGTTTTCTTGACAGGCTTAATGTTCATCGCTGTTCTGTCATGACATAACTTTTTCTCCTACTGATAGGGCTGGGAAATCTGACCACTTGTCTGCTGTGGTGCTACAGAGTCCTCTGTTTCCCAAAATGATTACAAATCTTCATGTATTTGACATGAAGCCTGAATGACGCAGAAGTGTCTAGAATGAGAGCATCTACTGGATGGAGAACCACAAGTCACTGGTAATCTGCCAATAATGAAGAGTGTTGGCTGAATGAGGGGAGTCATCATATGAAAACTCTGAGAAAGGACAGTCTTTTATAAAAAAAATAATAATACAACACATGTTCTTCCAGAGTTTTGTTTCCTCTTAATTTACTCATTTGCCCATTTATTTGCATGTAATATACAGGAAAATGGCAACCGACATTCCTTTCAAAACGTGGGTATATGCTGAAACACAATGTAGGAAAATAAAAGCTACTGGATATTAAAAAAAAATTAAAAACAATCAAGCTTTTTTTAAGCAGTGGGATGGAGGAAAACATTAAGAAATACGCCTATAAATATGACAAAAGTAATTTTCATGTTTTGGAAGATGTGAGCTCAACAATGAAGTTTAAACAGATAAACTTGCTAAGGAAGAGCCATGTGGGAGCTGTAACAGAAAAACTGGCACACACACAAATTTCATCCAATTTAGCAATCGGCTGGGTAGGTAACCCTTGGGCTGGGAAGGACTCTCAGGTGTCTCATTAACGCAGAGCTATAACTTGTCCAGAGAATCAATCCTGAAGAAAACAGACCCATCCTGGGTTATTTAGGTTGCCTCACACATAGAAACAGCCAATTGTAGGAACCTGGATCTAGTTAAAGGTATTGAACTATCCAGCAGGTTAATAAATCATGTCAGAGACTCCTTTACATGATATTTAAGACTCCTTCACATGATATTTAAGAGGTCTGAGACTAGATGGATTGCACTGGTTGAAACACCAGTTTATTTTATTATAGCTGTATCAGGATCGAGAAGGTGGCCACTAACTTCTAAGACAATCAGCTTTCTTTTTCTCCTTGCCTATAGACAACACCAAGATGGAAGCTTTAGAAGAATGGACTCAATTTAACACGGATTTATCTCTGCTACAAACAACAACTTTTGAATTTCCTGGGAAAATGGGGAACCAGGCCCCTTCAAAAGTATTTGTCGTCACTAATACTATAGTTATATTCTGCTTTTCTTAATCAACACAGTTATGAACAAATGCCATCAGGCTTGAGGACTCACAATCTGAGATAACAGCACTCCTAAATTAGAGGTCAGAAGAGTTTTCTTGTGTTCTAAAATTTCAGAAGGTAGGATATACCAGTATAAGAATATTTATGAAAGACAGTTCACGCTTTTGGAATTTGCCTTAACTACTGATACCTAAATGGTGTCTCTTTCTTTAGAAAATGCTTAAAAAGGGACATTAATCAGTCAACTGTGAAAGCTGGCATTCATAAAAAAAACTGCTGCAGCACAGAAACATCAGATCTGATACATCATTTAATTGTCAAAACCCCTGAATCCACTTTCAGTCCCTCTGGACAGATAATATAAATCAAGAGTTCAGTGACAGAGCTTATAAAAGAGCACTTCTCGAATTTGAAACTAGCGTTGACAGCTCTGGAACCATTTTCGTCCTCTGCTTATGTTGGTCTGCATTTCCTAAACAAGTGTCTTCTGAGTGTATTTTTATACGGACCCTCAGGATGTCTCCACTTGGATCAAGAGACCTTTGGTGTCTTTGTTTGGCTCTTGCATCAAACGCAGCTCTTCTTAACGAGCTTCTGTTTAATATCCAGACCCAGCTCACAAAATCTCTGCTGTGCACTACTGATCTCACCTGGATTTTATTTATCTTTCATCATTTGCACTTTTCCAGGTCTCTAGCGATGGTATCTGCCCCCTTTGGTGGCTCTTCAAAAACTTCTCTAACAAAGGGAAAGTTAAGGCAACAACTTCTGACAGATTACTCACCAATGCCACTTTGGCATCACCCGCGTTGCAAAATGATGGCATCAGCAGAAATAACAATTAGAGTTCATTTCCAAAATCTGGGAAGCCTGGGCATTCCCATTAAACTACTCCAGTATGGCAGTTCTGTTCCCAAGAAGGAACCATCAAGTGAGCTGCTGAAGCTCCAAAAGGCTCAAACATTAGCATCCACTTCAACCTCAAGCTTTTCTTACTGCTCCTGCAGTGATTCCAACATCTGCAGTAGTACTTGGGTCTCTTTGTTAAACCATTTTAATCTCCAAGCTTTTCTTACTGCTCCTGCAGTGATTCCAACATCTGCAGTAGCACTTGGGTCTCTTTGTTAAACCACTTTAATGACTCTATTAAAACTGTACCAAATGCAGGATTTCTACCAGGTTCAGGTGATCAGGGCTATCAAATACAGCAAACTGCAGTAATGAAACTGGACTTGAGAACTAGAAAACATTAAGCATGTCAAAGATGACATAATTTACAGTATATGTTTTTTACAAAGACAACAGATACCTTACTATAGTAACAAAACCCCTTAAATATACAGCAATACTTTTTGACTGTGCAGCCATGGCTGCTGTTCTCCATATCAGTTATACTGAAGTTTCAGAGCAGAGAAATGCTTGTTTCAACAGTATTTGGTAGGTGTTAGAAGTTCTTCACATTTAAATCAGGCACCTAAGGGAAAAAAAACAACTTCCATTGATGTCATTCATAGCCTGCAGTGGAAAAATTAGTATTCAGCCTTTTGAAAGTACCTACATTGCTTAACAAATCACTTTTTATTAACTTTGAAAGTGCTAGAAGTTGAGGCTCTATTAACAGCATTAAACATGTATAATTTAATGTATTTTGCCTAAAGAATGCTCCATCACCTTGTGGTGCTGCAAGCTGTGCCTCCTTTCTTCTAATATCCAACAGACCACCAGCAACGTGGTTTAAATTCAACAATCTAAAATGCTTTTTTTTTCCTGGAAGATTTTAATCTATGTTTTCATACTTCTAATAATCCAAGTGTAAAGGTACATATTGTCCCAATACAAGAAGAAGCTAGAGGAATTTAAGCTACCTCATAAAACATATTCATGTTTTTTTTTTTTCAGTACAACAGTTTATTTAAGAAGAAAATACATTTCCAAGCTTCTTACATGCTTGTATCTACTTGTGATACTGGATTCTTGCACTGAAGTGATGTTACTTTGATTATTATTCCATAGTATGCAAACACAAGAACTGCATCAATACACTAAACTGAGAAGATATTACACCTTACCAGTGTTAACAACTGTAGGCTGGTACAAACACTATCTTTCAGGGAATTAATAATTATTATTAGCAGGTTGGCAGAAGAGAACACATAGTATTTATCCGTTTAGTAGAACTTACAAAAAAGAAGAAACAAATCCACCTTCCAAAGTGCTCAGCCATTTAAAGGCTGGTGTTTTGTTCTGTATTGTGTTTAAAATCATCACTTTTTAGTCTTAACATCCCAAGGCAGAAACAGAATTTCTACTTGGAGCAGCAGTGAGGCTGTTGAGTACCTGCAGCAGGAACTCTTTCCTCCCAGTCAGCCTTATGATGCATGTTTGAATAGGAATGAAATCTGTCCTGACACTCAGATGAGTTTCTGCCTGCTCTTGAGCAGGAGATTGCATTCTGCTTATGGTGGGTTCCAGATGCTCTGCTGGTTTCCACTGGTTAGTGCATCTTTCATTTGCTCAGTGCTCATCACAAAACAGGTATGTTTCTGATGGGTCCCACCCTCTTCCAGTTAGCAACATTAATCAATACAATGGGGAAAAAAATAGAAATTCGTTAATGAATATCTGCAGCTGACACAACTACCCTTTGAGCTGCGTACCAGGAGTCTGAGTTCTTTAGCCAATTGGTATATGCACTGTGTCTAAAATGTCATGACTAAGTTTAGAATAAATGAATTAAAACCAAAAAGGTAGCCCAAACTTTGGACAGGAGAGATCTATGCTAGGAAGCACGTGGAGGTGCCTGAACACAGCTTCAGTACTGGCTGATGTGCCTGAAGCAAACCTCGCGTGTATAAATGGGAATATCAAGTAGGAGTAGGGAGATTGTATTACCTCTCCCTTTGGCAGTGGTGCAACTACTAGAATACCGTGTCCTTGGTCCTCAGACAAGATTACAAGATGATCCCCTCTGGCATTATA